TGGCCGGCAGAAGCTCAGTGGTGGCCTCCTAGCTTTAGTTGGGCTCCCCTGGGGTTAGGATTAGGAAACAGCTGGTCATTAGAGGGCAAGATTCGGGCTTAGCAAAAGTCCCCTGAGCCAGCGGTTCTTTAGAAAGAGAACACAAATCAAAGTGTGATTCGGCATTTTCTTGGGAAGGGTGAGGGTGAAATTTTCATGGTGCTGCTGTCTCTAGTCGCCTTGTAGATCAGACTTGCCCGTGGGCACACTGAACACAGTTCCCCGGTGTTCATGGGTTGGAACGCGGGGTTGGAAGGTGGAGCTGGCCAGCTGAGGCAGCCCTGGAGGAGGCCTGCCCACACCTGGCTGCCCTTGAAGGAAATTCTTTCACGTCCTTGTATTCTAGACAAGTCCTCCTGTCCCATTTTTCAGGGGAGGGTGTGATGGGTGGGGGCGTGTGCCCTCCAGGGTCATAGCCAGTGAAGCCACCTGACCTCCCTGGGAGGGTCTTCACCTCGCTGTCTTTGGCCTCCGCCCCCAGCTGCTGCCCCAACTGCCCTCCTCCTAGATCCTCCAATATCAGGGAAAAAAAGAGAGACATACTGGGAGGATGGCCTTAGGCCTGAGCCTAAGCAACTCCAGTTTGAAACCTGCCGACTCGGCAGGCACAGCTAACATAGCCCTCCAGTGTGGCCCTCAGACATAAACAAGTCACTTCCCCTCACCCTGATAAACAGAGAGAAGCCTCTGGCAGGCTATTCTCATTTATTAGGTGAGAAGATCAGGGTGAAGACCACCAGGCCAGATGTTTCTGACCCCAGGATAAATGGTGTCAAGGAGATATCTGGTGGTAGCTGATGAGGATTGAAAGGGGGGGGGTCAAAAGCCCAAAAATTTATTATAAATAATAGAGCTAATGAATAGGGATTCAGCCAACCAAAACAAGGATGTACTGGAGGGCCTAATGAGGACCTGGACTGACGTCCCGTCATTTGTCATCATTTTCATGATCCTCTGCATATCCTCACCGCTCTCAAACTCTACGGCCTCATCTTGACCCTGGTGAGAGCCAAACTTCTCCCTATGACCTTCTCAACTGGTCGTCCACTCCACACCAGGAGAAGCCTGCCTTGGTTCCAGACCTGATCACCGAGGTTTGAGTGAGTGTGCATCTGCTGGACGTAAAGCCTAAGACTTGAGACTTCTGAACTTAGCACGCAGAGGGAATGTCTGTCATTAGCCTGTCATGATTAAGTGTGTTTTGCAGTGCTTAGAATTAATCTCAAATTGTTTGCTGTGAATTGATTATGTCTATTGCAATGCCTAGCAGTAAGGATTGCCGTTTTCTTGATTAAGAATCTATAGAGTGAAATTGTATTGAGTGATTTGAGTGAATAAAGCATTGAAAAGGGCGGAAGCACGTGGACATTCTTTATTTCTCTCGACTGCATACGTCACAATTTTGCCCCCTTGAGACATGCTGTCTCTACCCAGAAGTTGAGGACACATTCAAGGGGGAGCCTCCTTCCCTTTTCTGGTTGGAAGCCAGACACAACTTGGCCAAGGAAGTGGGAACCCTAGTCCCTTCTCCAGGAAGCTGTCCACTCCAACTACAGGCTGGTGAGGGTGCCTCCTTTGTGTCCCACAGCCATTGCCACCTGACCTTGCTATTGCACCTTTCTCTCCTGCTGCAACATTAGGTCAGGGACAGCATCTGTGTCCCCGGCATCACTGGCACACGCCCTGCACTGAGAAGCTGTCAGTGAAAGTTGGTGAACGAATGTATGAAAGAATACATAAATAAATGAAGTAGAACCCAACTTGGGGAAGGAAGAAGTGAGCCTACAGCAGACAGGCCAATGATGAAAGAGGAAGCCAGAGAGGAATGGAGTAATGGAGGGGAAGATACAGGTCA